GGGCCACCAGACCTGACGCAGACACCTGACCGACAGCAGCTACCTGGGGAGACGCAGTGGTCAGTGTGTAGAGACTCGACCCCGGCCGACGGGTGAACGTAGCCAGGTGACGGCCAGTCCTGGAGCACGTGCAGATCGCCACACGCTGTCCGCCAGGGGTAAAGGTGTCAACCCACTGATCCTGGAGGACAGCGTTGCTCACCAGGTTCGTCGAGAACGAGGGGAGGTGGAAACCCGACAACGAGCCAGACGGAACCGCCGGACAAGGGAGGACAGTGGTGGACTGGGCAAGGACTGGGCCCCCAGAGGGGTCAGCCAAGGAGACTGGGACCGGTGCAGGAAGCGGTGTGAGCTCAGTACTGTCACGAAAGAAGCAACGGGAAGCACCTGAGTCAAGGGTGAAGGTGTGACAGGCCTCAGCCGGTGCGGTACCTGAGAGAGCAGTCTGTGTGGGTGCTGTACCTGAGAGAGCAGACTCGAAACCAGCCGGGACAGCACTGGGGGGAGCAAGTACAGGGGGCACCATACCAGAGAGAGCAGACTCACTAGTACCCAGGGCAGCGGGCTCTATACCTGGGTCAGGCGGCACACACAAGTAACAGTCTCCCTCGGCACTAACAGTCAATGCATACATGGCAGCAATAATAGCATCATAGTCAAGAGCAAAGACATCAACACCAGCCCTCATGAGCTCAGCCCAGCGGGGGCGCTCAACATCCGCACCCATCTCCTCACGCCAAGCGTCGTCAAGGCGGGAGAAGCAGCGGTACGGGGTGTGGAACCTCCCACACGTCTGTCCCTTGCGGTCACCTGTGCGAATGACATAAGAACAGCGGGCACTGGCCCCCGACGTCCCACGCTGAGCAAGCCACTCACGAAGCTGCTGGGTCGTCTGGGGACGCTGCTGCTGCTGGGAGCTCTGGCCCGAGCCAGTGCCTCCACTCCGACCTCCGCCGCCACCACTACCACCGCTCCGACCGGCACCGCCACCACCGCCACCACCGCCACCGCCGCCACTGCCGCCGCCGCCACTACTGCCACTGCTTCCTCCGCCGCCCCCGTCTCCACCACCGACCCCACTCCCACCAGCGCTCCCGCCACCGCTCCCTCCAGCACCGCCTCCCCCCCCACCTCCCCCACCTCCTCCCCCCCCAGCGCCACCACCACCACCCTTGCCCCCCTTGCCCTTGCCGGTGCGGCGCCTCCCACCAGGAGCAGAAGCAGCGCCAACAGACTCAGCACCAAGGAAGTCAACAGCAGCAGCAGCAGCGTAGGAGGGAGCGAGGGGAGAGGGAGAACACCCCTCAAAGATGGGGGTGCGAGGAGCGCCACGAGCAGCACCGACAGCTACAATGCTCTTTTCGGCCGCGAGCAGGTGCTCCTCTAGGAGGGCGACTGTGAGCTCAGTGGGACAGCGAGCAAGGAAGTGGTCTCGAACTGAGCGGAGGGTGTCAGGGAGACGAGTGACTATAAAGTGGAGTGTCCAGTACAGTGGAGGGGGGTTCTTAGCGCAGAACTCGGTGGGAAGGGCGGCACGCAGGCGAGCATCACTAGTGCGAAGGTGGGTGATAAGATCGGCGACTGTAGTAAAGGTGGACAGATCGGGGAACAGGTACGGCAGCATGAGGCGGCTAAGCTCGGCTGTGGCAGGCGAGGAGTAGCGAGCGACGACAGCGTCGTACAGGGCCTTAGCGGATTTGCAGTCGCCAAAATGCTCTAGCTCAGCTAACGGCAGGTGACTGCGAATGGCTAGGCGAGCAGCTGCGTCACGAGTCTGCCAGTGGGAACGAACACTAAGCTCAGCTGTGGCAGGAGGGGCAGGCGCAGCACCAGACGCGTAGTCATAGAGCGACACATGCTCCTTGCTATCGCTCAGGAGGAACAGCTGCAGGTCATCTAGCCAAGCGGTGAACCGCACAGGGCGGCCCTCAGCATCGAACGACAGCACGCGGATGGAAGCCATAGCGACAGTGTGACAGAGTAACGCAAGCTGCCGCAGCAGGGGAAGGCGACTGTGCACGGATAGAGAGCAGCGGGCGAGGCTGGCGCTACGGGCAGGCGGCGCTGCAAGCGGTCAGCGCGACGGGAGGGCGACGCTGCGAGTGGGCAGCGCGGCGGACGGGCCGGGAAGCGGGCAGCGCGGCGGGCAGGCGGCGCTGCAAGCGGGCAGCACGGCGGGCGGGCGACGCTGCGAGGCGGGCGGGCCGCGAAGCGGGCAGCGGGCGGGCGGGCGGGCTGCGAAGCGGGCAGCGGGGCGAGCGGGCTGCGATGCGGGCGGGCCGCGAAGTGGGCAGCTAGCGGGCGGGCGGGCTGCGAAGCGGGCAGCGGGACGAGCGGGCTGCGAGCGGGCGGGCCGCGAAGCGGGCAGCGAGCGGGCGGGCGGGCTGCGAAGTGGGCGGGCCGCGAAGCGGGCAGCGAGCGAGCGGGCTGCGAAGCGGGCGGGCCGCGAAGCGGGCAGCGAGCGGGCGGGCGGGCTGCGTAGTGAGCGGGCCGCGAAGCGGGCAGCGAGCGGGCGGGCGGGCTGCGAGCGGGCGGCTCGGCGAGGGGCGCGCGAGGGCGCTAGTGAGGGGCGCGCGAGGGCGCTAGCAAGGGGCGCGCGAGGGCGCTAACGAAGGGGCGCGCGAGGGCGCTAACGAAGGGGCGCGCGAGGGCGCTAACGAGGGTGCGCGCGAGGGCGCTAACGAGGGGCGCGCGAGGGCGCTAACGTGGGCGCACGAGGGCGCTACGAGGCTAGGGCACGGGGTAGCGTGGTAACCGCATGCGAGCGGTGGTGGGCCCTTAAAAAAAACGGTCGGTAGGTCCTAGGGACCTCCTGCTCTGAATACCATGTCAGAATCACTAGGCAAGAATGAATGAACTAGCAGAAGTTTGGGTACAAATATGAAACCCTAGTTGGGGTTGTACCCCATATTGGCTACCCCACTACAGCCTACAAGCATAATACAGTTTAACAATACCTGCATGCTTGCTCTTGCTAGGTATTGATCACTGTACTGCTCTTGTTGCTTATATATATCTCTGCATGTGGACTGGCCTTGTGGCCCTTTGCTTGTGCTCAGAATGTGTGGTGACGTTGAGATCCACCCTGAGCTTGCTTTGCGTCTCTTGACTGGTCGTGTGACCCCTTGTTCTCCCCCACTTTGCTTATGGGGGTGTGTCAAACATATATGCTGCATATTGTCTAGGCTGTAGTGGGGTAGCCCATATGGGGTACAACCCAATTAGGGTTTAGTGCTTGTACTCCTGCATGCTGTTAGTTCATCATTCCTGCTGCTACTTTCTAACACTGTCCTGTCCCGAAAGGATGCAGAGCACATGCTCGTGCAACACGTTGTAATTGTGATGCTCCAGCTGCTTAGTTGTTTCTTCAGGTGCTGGTGTATTTCTCATACACAATAAGATGTACTTCTTATCTTGCCAGCTGGCCTCAAAAGATGATGCTCCATAGGCTGGACAATTTATATCCCTATGGAAGTTTGGAACACACAGCCAACTACGGTGCTTGAGAAGGCCAACAATCATTGTACATTGTAATTTGCAAGAAAGCTCAGGCATGAATAGTGAAGCCATTGTAAGAAAGATCAGCAATGCGTGCATTGTGAAGCCAAACCTTTGATGCTGGCTATCCATATACTCTGCTGAGAAGCAGGACGGGAGGGCAAAGATAAAGTTGAGATCGCTTTATCTGAAAGGGTGCATCCACCCATGTGCCAAAATCACCAGCAGAAAGCCAGACGGCAGCAGACGAACAACGCACACACATCACAATCAGCATGCAGACAACCAGCATGCCAGTGTACATGCCAATGTGCATGGAGCATCCATGCCAGCATGTATCCATGGCTACCCTATCAAACCAGTTGCCTTCACCAACACGCCACACCACCCCCACAGCCATGCTGACACGGCAAGAGAGAAAATCAAATGGTTGCGATTACACCCAAGCAGCACAAACAGAACTGAGGAGCCATATGGGCAACCTATCTGGAGGTCGATCAAAGCCATGGAGGTAAGCTCAAACGAGCAGGATGGTGCAGGGGAGCAGGTCTCAACTCAACACAGCTTTACAGCCAGCCACAGCAGGTCCCAATCTGAGACTCCCAATAACGCCACAGTAGCACAGGCATGGATGAATTTGAGGCAGGAAATGGATTGCACCTGCGTGCCTCAAACATTCCCTGCATCATTCTACCCATCTCCTCCTCCCCTCTGCCTATCCGACCTCCTGTCTCCACTCTCCCGTTCATTCAGGTCCGAGCAACCCACCGCTGTGCACACCACACCACCCCGCCATTGACCACTGCTGCGATCCCCACGCTGCTTGCTCTTCCGCCTCAGCCTGCCCTCCCTGTCATCCTCATTTTTCTCAACCTAATCCCACCCGCCATTCACCACCGTCCCCCCTTCCCCATCCCTCCTCCCTCCTTCCCATCAGCCCTCTCCTACAGCGTGCTCCACTCAAAACTGCAGCCCCACGCCACCATTCCCCCACCAGACTTGCCTCCCCACGCCACCTCCACCCGATCCGCAACCAGCACTTGCCTGCACCCCACCCTACTCCGCACACCCACAGGCTTCCCACCCACAGGCTTCCCAATCCGAGTTCCCCCCCCCCCCCCCAATCAGCAGCCAGCTCCTATTCACATTCCACCCTACTCCGCGCCCTGAGGCTTCCACTTCCGCATCCCCCCCCCCCTCCCCCCATCAACTGCCAGCTCCTGCTCACACTCCACCCTACACCGCGCCCCCAGGCTCGCAGATCATGCTTAGCTGTGCCACAACCTCCTCCTCCCCACCCCTCGCACACCCACCCGCACCTCACTCACGCCCTGCAAGCTGCAGCCCGCCCTGATCAGAGTCATCATCGTAAACAGAGTCGTCATCGCTCGCCTCGTCAAACCCTCTCATATCCAGCTGGTAGCGCAGATTCCCGCCGATCCCACTGATCCCGCCGCTCCCCCCAGCCCCCCCCTATCCAGGAAACGTCACCGCAACCCGCCCTAATCCGAGTCATCATCGTAAACAGCGTCGTCATCACTCGCCTCGTCAAACGTTCTCATGTCCAGCTGGTACCTCAAGATCCCGCCAATCCCGCCAAACCCTCGGCAGAACTGCGAGCCCTCCTGGCTCTTGTTGGTCACAAACTCAAGCGTGCACCCAAACTTCTTGTACCCCTCTGCAAACCACTCCAAGAGGGACGTTTTCTCCTGCACCTCCAGCTCTGCGCCCGTCTCTGCGTCTCTGAAGTTGCTCTGATCGGCCTCCTGCTCCTTGCTCAGATTCTTTATCACTATCTCGCCCGTCACTGCGTTCTGTGTGGTGGAAAGGGGTGGAGATGGGTGAGGAGGTGTGAGGAGAGGTGAAGAGGGTTGAAGAAGGGTGAACGTTGACAGCACCACATGGCCCCATGCCAACACATCCATTCCCATGCTTGCCACGCACCCACCCAACCATGACCCTGAGTCTGTTTATTCCGCCCATCGCATCTCACCTTGAGCGTGTAACAGTTCACATCCAGGTCTCCCACACAATCAGGATTATTTCCATGGCGCCAATCACTCCCACCCTGCAGACTACCTTGGAACCCCTATGAGACTTGCGACCCAGACAGTGCCCATGTGTGCTGTCTCACCTTGAGCGTGTAGTGGTTGACGTCCAGGTTCTCCCACACGACCAGAAGCTCCACGGCGCCCATCTAGAGCACCTTGACCACCAGGGCACAGGCAAGCAGCATCGGATCGCATCTCTGTATTTCACTTTGAGAGGGCAACCACGTCCCTTGAGTGTGTATCGGTTGACATCAAGGTTTTCCCACACGATCAGAATCTCCACGGCGCCCATCTCTAGCCCCTTGAGCATGTCGTCCACTCCGCAAACACCCACCCCACCATGACCCAACCCAACATATGCTATGCTGCTGCTCTGCCGTCTCACCTTGAGTGTGTATCGGTTGACATCAAGGTTCTCCCACACGATCAGAATCTCCACAGCACCCATCTCGAGCGCCTTGAGAGTGTCGTCCACACCGAACACGTACTTGCCCGTGTCCTGGCTGATCTCATCAAAGTACCGACCAATCAGGCGCTTCTCCTGACAAGGATGGACAAGTGACACAAGGGAAAAGCGTGGAAAGGGAATGAGGGCAAGGGGATAGAAAGCGTGTCCTCCACACCGAACATGTACTTGCCCGTGTCCTGGCTGATCTCATCGAAGTACCGACCAATCAGGCGCTTCTCCTGGAACAGCGAAGAGCATAAGGGAACGGAGTGGGAGGGGAATGAGCGCCTGGAAGGTGGGAATTGAGTTTGTCCACGCCACGCCAAACTCGTACTTTTCCGTGTCCTCACTGATCTCATGAAAGTACCGCCCAATTAGGCGCTTCTCCTGAAAAAGGTCACGAATGGCGTGACATGGGGGCCCACCGAGGGTATGAGGGTCCGGGGCAGTAGGGGAGTGAGAGCCGGGAGGGCGGGGACAATGGGGACAGGAGTGGCATGTCATACGCTCCAAGCAAGTTCCCCTTCTTCCTTATTCACTGCCCACTGTCTGTCTTTTTTTGTGCTTTGCAATCGCCCCCTTCTTCTTTAAGACACTTGTATCGTCTTCACTCCTACCCCTTCTTTATTATCCCCTGACCCCCCTCGTCGCACCTGGATGAACTTGACGTTAGCCAGCAGCTCCGCGCTGAGCTCCATGGCCTGGCTGTCAGCCTCAGGTGCACCTCTCACCTCAACAGCACCTCACCCGAGTACCCGCCCTGAACGATCTGCACCTCACCCAACCCCTCATCACCCCTCTGTCCTCGCACCTGGATGAACTTGACGTTCGCGAGCAGCTCCGCGCTGAGCTCCATGCCCTGGCGTTGCCTCGCCTCTCACCTCACACCCATGAACGCACCCACCACACCGCTCTGCCTCCCTCCCAACCGCTCTCCATTCCATCCTCACCTGGATGAACTTGACGTTGGCCAGCAGCTCGGCGCTGAGCTCGATGGCCTGGCTGAACCCGTTCTCCCCGCCGTACGACACGTCCACCACGTTCAGGATCTTCGACTGCGAGGGGTACAGAGGGGTATAGAGGGGTGACGAGGGGCACAGGGGCGGAAAGAGGGGTGATGAGTGGTGGCTCGCTGAGCTCGATGGCCTGGCTGAACCCGTTCTCCCCGCCATATGACACGTCCACAACGTCAGAATCTTCAACGACCGTCAATGGAGGGGTGCAGAAGGGTGAGAGGGGTACAGAGGGGTGCAGAGGGGTGCAGAGGGATGCAGAGGGGTGATGAAGGTGGTGAATGAGGCGGAATTGAAAGAAGGAGGAGGCGAGCCGTCCCCGCGTTAGAAATCTTCAATTCGGATAAGAGGGTGAGGTGGGATGACGAGGGTTGACGGGGAGTGACGAGGGGTGACGAGGGGTGAAGAACGCGAGAGGGAGGAACCGAGAATGTGAAAAGGCGAACCATTCATCCCGGCCGGCCCACGCCCCTCCGCCGCCCCCATGCCGCACATGTCCTGTCCCCCACGTCCCCCCATGTCTTCTCCCTCCATAACCATATCCAATCCCCCTCGCGCCGCGTCTGCCCACCAGCACCCACCTCCACCGCACCCCGCCCCTCCCAACCTCCGCGTCTCACCTGCAGGCGCTGGTCGAACATGTCCGATTGGCTCAGCTCCGTTTTGAACTCCGCAGCGCCCGCGAGCACCAACCCCGACACGTTGATCTGCGACGTCTGCGGGTTGATAAAGAACTGCACCGCAAGCTCCGCCGTCTTGCGCACGTAGTTGTGCCGCTTCTCCATGCGCAGCCGCGCGAATCGCAGCGCGGATTGCCCTCCGCGCCCGTGCTTCTTAGGCAGATCCACCGTGAATTTGTGCAGCACCTCGCGCGTGTTGCCCGAGAGCGTGCCGAAGAGCGCGCCATTGCCGTCCATCACAATGAAGCCGAACTTCTCGTCGGATTCGAGCAGCTCGTTGAGCGCCTCGGTGTGGAATTTGTTGTCGCACAGGTAGAGCGACGCGTTGATGGGTTTAAACGGCTCGAAGTCGATCGTCACCTTCTTTTCCTTGCCGTCGTCTGTCACGATCGTTCCCGTGTACAACACCAGGCCGTTCGGAGGGACCTGAAGGGAGGGTGTTACGCAGGGTGAAAGAGGAATTAGGAATCTGAAAGAACTTTCGATCGTCACCTTCTTCTCCTTGCCGTCGTCTGTGACGATCGTGCCCGTGTATAGCACCAGGCCGTTGGGAGGGACCTGACAGAAGGAGTGTGAAAAAGGATTGCACAAAGGGAGCGGGAGAATTTGGGTGACGCCAATCGTCCGTCACGATCGTGCCCGTGTACCTGTACAGCACCAGGCCGTTGGGCGGGACCTGGAGGGCTGGTTAAGGAAGGCCAAAGGCGGAAAGGGATAACTTTTATGTTGACCTAGATGTCGTCGGTGACGATCGTGCCCCTGTGTAGCACCAGCCCGCTGAGAAGGACCGGGGGAACGGGTTACGACAGTAGACAACAGAATCAGCAGTAACGATCGTGCCCGTGTATTGCACGACACCGTAAAACACGGCACGCAAGGCAGGAGTTTCGCTCGTGGCGTAAATCGGCGCGCATCTGGTTCTTATGCGGCTAGCGAGAGCAACTATGTGGAGCGCTGCTTCACGAATTCACCGCACGAAAAATTCGCATGCTGCACGCATGGCGTCTCGCGTTAGATGGTGGGGGGCGCGAGACGCGAAAGCCGGGCTACAACCACACACCTCCCGATCGCTAGTCGTTTCGGCGACCGCTCACGACAAGCCGCAACGCATCGATCTCTCTTGCACCCTCGTCAAACTGTCACCAAAACGATTGCGTCGCGCGATGTACTCAGTAACAATCGTGCGACGCTCCCCGCATCTCCTTGTTAAGTAATTCTTCAACGCACGAAGTGTAAGCAACGAGTTAGTGTAGGCATATGTTTACGTTGTCGTGAATCGTACCTTGTTGTAGAGCTTGAGTCGTTGTTGCGCGGACGTGATAGCACCCAGCACTGACTGCCGGTTCACGCGATTCTTAATGTTCGACGCCGTCCCGAACTCGTCGCCAAGCATCTTCGCCACTCGCGCGACCTGATCGCGCGGCGGCATGATCAGCGAAATCATGCTCGTCCCGTTTCCTCTGGCCTGCTCGAGAGCCTTAATCAGCTTCTTGATCTTCCATATTTCTATATTCTTATCGTTCTCTGGCCCGCTGGCGTCCGCCATGACGGAAACGGAGGCGTATGAAGCGGCTTAGAAGCAGCAGCCGTGAATCACGCTAGGCACGCGAGTGCGACTGCTGGTTCCGCAAAACCCTGATCCCTGATTAGGGTTCACGAGGAACGCAAGCCAGAAAAGCAAGAACCAATCTCGAATCTCGTTGGACAAGAGAAGCTCGAAGGAAGGAGAAGGAAATGGGAGTTGGTTGGTAGAAAAAGGCACACGAAGAGGAAAACAGATGGGAAAGGAGGTTGAGTGGATAAGGGGGTGCAAAGAAAGTTTGCTTGGAAGGATTGAGAGCGTTCTGGTTCGGTTTGTTGCGTTACCAAGCAAATCTACGCTATGGCCGTCTGTGAAAGTCGGAGGGGCAGAGAGAGACGAGGAAGCTTGTGACGAGGATCTAGCTTCAGCGGACGCGGTCCGGAAGATGCGATACGTTCTAATTGGCAAGACCCGGGCCCAGTTTGGCAGGCATCATGGCCATTATGGCCATGATGGGAATTTTTAACGGGCCCCCAAAAAATGCCACCTGGGCATTTCGAGAAACAGCTTCGAAATCGGACTGTAGCTGCAGTGCACCTTCAAAAAAATGGGGCTGAGTGTTTGGTTGGCATTAATTGGGTGTAGATTGATGGCATCGATCGAAATTTGGGGTTTCGCCGAAGATGGTAGGCAATTGCGCGTGATCATGTGATTGGCTGGCAGTCACTTTTCATTGCCCAGAATCACTGATACCCCGCATGGTGCGGGGCCTCGAGGCCGCATGGTGCGGGGTGTCCGAAAATGGGCTCTTTGCTAGGGAAAATGGGTTCGTTGAAGAAACGGTAGGTTGGAAATGCCATCGGATAACGGGGTGTTTGTGTGGCATTCCATTATTCTCAGGTTCGGCGTAGTCCGCTTATATCGAACCTTGATAATCTTTCACACGCTTATCAGGGAAGGTTCCAGGGTGGTCGGTTCACTGTAGCCCATCCCCCTCGCCCGGTTTTTTTATGCCTGCCAAACTGGGCCCCGGTATGGGTCGGCTAGAGGGGCACGAGGTTGCCACATGTAGGACCCAACAGTGCCTCGACTTCACCGAGGATTTTCCTCACCTTTGTCCACTTCCCATCAGCTGTACATCATGTATTACACACCCTAAAAATATAACTAAGCTTGTTTGAGCCTCAAGAATAGGTAGTTTTAGAAATGATGCACCACAACCTCATGAAAGAAACGATTGTCAACCAGTGTAATGTGAACGAAGTATATATAATGCATTATACAAGATGCGACCTATACGATTAGTAATCCTAAGCTCCGCCAGACACGATGTTGCTTCAGCGGCAAGACTCCTCGTGAAGCACAACGAAGGAACCGTCCCCCATCCAATCACCACCACACACTCACACCCACCACCTAAGTTAGTACCATAACCCCAAGAGAGAAGAAAAAAAAAAAAATCAAAAACCTAATAACCAAGCAATATGCTCAGTTCCTTACCGCTGTTAGTCCCAAGCTTGCCGCATCCAAGATGTACCATGCGTTGACAGTGTATAGTTGAAAGTAACACCACCACGCGGAACCATCACACAAGTCCCTGGGCGAGCAGAAGAAAGGCCACAGCAGGCAAGTCACCCCTCAGTCAAACCTACACATGCACGCAGGAACGGACCGAACCTAATTGGCACCTCACCTGCTGCCGAACCTGCTGCTGCCTCAGGTTCGTCCCACTCGACCAGCCAAGCCTGACGCAAAGCTCAGCCTGAAGGGATGGGCGGCACATGTGACGGAAATGGGTGGCTCATGTAGAGATGGGTGGCGCATGTGACGGCGGACTGGGACTACGGGGAAAGTGACAGATACACAAACGAAGAAGCAACGGATGCGTTCAGGTGGGCTCATCTAGCCAAGAGAAACATGGGACAGAACACGGACAAGTGAGGAAGAGCAACGCAACAAACTCCTGAGGTGCAACTTGAAGGGCAATGGCAGCACAGCGAGATTGCATTGGGTGACAAATCTTGCAGGCAGCCGTGGATGGGTGGGTGGGTGGGTGGGTGGGCGGGCGGCGGGCGGGTGGTGGTGGCGCAGGGAGGTAAGTGGAGGGGGGGATTGCAAGGGGCGCACTTGAGAGTGGGTCGAGGCCGTGCCTCCTGCCTCATGCTGGCATGCGCTGACCCCGGCAGCACCGCCTGGTTCAGTGCAGGACGACAGAGGGGGCATACGGGAGGGGCAGTGGAGGGGGAAGGGAAGATGGCAGGGAAGCGGGGGGGGGGGGGGGGGGGGAAGGGAAAGAGGAAAGGGAGGTGGCAATAGCGGGGAAGGGAGGGCCAGAGGGGTGCAGCACAAGACTGCTGGGCGTGTGGGCAGTGTGGCAGAGTGCAGACAGACAGAGAAGCATCAACCATTGTCAGACAAGCAGGAACAAAAGAGAGTGGCGTTGAGACCTGTGAAAGGAAGAACGCAGCAAGCAACACCGACGCTACAGCAGGCAGCAGCAAGGCATCAAGCAAACAACACCTCCAATTCGTCTAGACTGCCATTGACAGCCACAGCTGCCGCTCCTCCTGCTGCCTGCACCGCCTCTGCTCCCCCCGCACCCGCCCCTCTCACCACCCCCTCGCCCCCCCCTTCTGCTGCTGCTGCCCCACCAGCAGCACCCACAGAGACAAGAGCAGGGGACACGGGTGACAATCCCGCTGCTGCTGCCACACCACCCGCAGCCCCCACAGCCGCCGCAGCTGCAGCAGCAGACGCAGAAACAGCAAAAGCAGCAGCAGGCGTGAGTGCCCTCTTCGCCTCCCCCTGCTCCCCGCCCTCCTCCGCGCCTCTCTTCCCCAACACCCTCCCCCCTCCATTCGCAGGCGACACCCCCCCAGCACCCTTCTCCTTTTTCCCCGACCCCTTCCCCCCTCGTGACGCCCGTCTGGGCTTCACGCCCCTCGGGAACACAAACAGCGGCAGCTGCTTGCGTTTCAAATACAGCACATCGATCCCCATGCCCTCTCGCCACATCTGAAAGCTCTCCACCGTGCTCTTGAAATCGTCCACTGTGTACCGAATGTCAAACTCCCGCGCTCCCCCACCGGCAGCACCAGCGCCCCCGTTCTCCTCGGCGCCGGGAGTGCCGGGGGTGGTGGGGGTGGGGGTGGGGGGGGCGCGGCGCTGCAGGCCCATGTAGAAGAGGCAGTGTGGGTAGGAGCGGGCCGGGTCGTGGATCTCACACACGTGCGGGTGGCACTGCAGCAGCCCGTCTGTATGCCGCTCGATCTGACAGGGAAGGGCAAATAGTGGGGAGAGAGGATGGGAATGGGAGAGGAAAAGAGGTCGACGATCCCACACACATGCTGGTGGTGCTGCACCCAGTCACCCCCACACCCACACACCAACACCCACCCCCACCCACCCACCCACCCCCACACCCACACCCACACCCACACCCACCCACGCACACACACACCCGCCCCCACCTTCACCCACCCACCCACCCCGACCCCTACCCACACCCACCCTGGTAACGAGCGTGCGCAGCCGTGACTCCACCCAGCCCTTCCATTTGAGCATGTCCGCATCGCTGGCAGCGCTGATGTCGATCTGCAAGTAGTGGTTGTACGCCTCAAAGAACGCAAACGGCTCAAACAGCTCCGCCCACTCCGCCCTCTGCTCCCCCGCCCCCCCTCCCCCTGCTCCCCCCGTCCCCCCCGCTGCTCCCCCTGCTCCCCCCCCTCCCCCGCCCCCAACCGCCCCCTCAATCCTATCGCAAATCTCCTTCCCGCGCCGAAACTCGTCCTTCATAACCCTGAGCGTGCTCTCCGAGACATTATAGCTGCTATTCATGCACGGATACGCGGGCGTGATAATCGGCATGAGGTGCAAGGCATCGCGGGGGTTGCGCCTGGGGTCCCAGATGGGGAAGTTAAAGCCCATGGCGCCGTGGTCGATATCTGTGAGCATGATGGGCAGCGGCCACTGCCAGAGCGTGTAGAAGCGGAAGAAGCGCGCCACCAGCATGGAGGGGGCCGCGTTGGGGTACAGCTGGCACACGCGCCCTGCCAGGATCGCCCAATTCACGCCGCCCAGGAATCCCGCGACCTGGAAGAGGGGTAAGAGGAGGAGGGGAGGGGAGGGGCACAGAGGGCGGAGGAGGAGGGAGAAGGGGGGACAGGGAAGGAGAGAGGAGGGAGAAGGGGGGACAGGGAAGGAGAGAGGAGGGAGAAGGGGGAACAGGGAAGGAGAGAGGAGGGAGAAGGGGGGACAGGGAAGGAGAGAGGAGGGAGAAGGGGGGACAGGGAAGGAGAGAGGAGGGAGAAGGGGGGACAGGGAAGGAGAGAGGAGGGAGAAGGGGGGACAGGGAAGGAGAGAGGAGGGAGAAGGGGGGACAGGGAAGGAGAGAGGAGGGAGAAGGGGGGACAGGGAAGGAGAGAGGAGGGAGGTTGGGGTAGAGCTGGCACACGCGCCCCGCTAGGATCACCCAGTTCAACCCCCCCAAGAAACTCCGCGACCTGGTGAGGGAAGGGGGGATGCGGCGTTACAAGCAAGAGGGAGCGATGAGGAGAGGAGAAAGACAAGATGGCGGTTGGACGAGACGGCGAAGAGCAAGAAGCGAGTGAGAGAAGATGGGGGGAGGAAGGATGCAGGCACACAGGGAGCGGGAACGGATGAGGGGCGCAGGCAACGCAGCGCAGGAGTGACTCACATTAGAATAGACGCCTCGCTTCTTGGCCCAATGCTTCATGCACCTCAGTGTCAGGCGAAACGTCTGCACTCCACAGCACGTTGCACAAGGCACACACGGCCCACATGGCACACATGGCACACATGGCACACATGGCACACATGGCACACATGGCACACATGGCACACATGGCACACATGGCACACATGGCACACATGGCACACATGGCACACATGGCACACATGGCACACCAGGCACGGAAGACCGTTCGTTACACAAGAGACAAGGCCCCAGAGCACACCGCAGCACAGAGCAAGCAGGGCGGCACGCAGAGCAAAGGGCAAGCTGGTGGCACGCAAAGCAAGCAGCACACCAAACGGTTGAGCTTGAAACGCTGGCGCACAAAGTTGGGCGTACCTCAATGCTTGACCCTACCTTGATGAAGGGCACGAGCTTGAGAATCTGATCCGTGATGCGGCACCCATAGAGCGACCAACCTTGGGACGCCTTGAAACCCCACCCCACTCCTCCCCACTCCTGCCCACCCCTCCCCGCCCATCCCTTTTCTTACCTCGATGTTGGGAACGAGCTTGAGGATCTGGTCTGTCACGCGGCACCCATTGAGCGACCGCTGCGTCCACTCGTCCACGTTCTGCAGTATCGCCTCCTCCGATAGATCCAGGTCCTGATGGGGAGGGAGAGGCACACACACAGGGCAGTGGAGCGAACATGTAACGAGCGTGTAACCACCAAGCAGACACATGTGCGTCCACTCGTCCACGTTCTGCAGTATCGCCTCCTCCGATAGATCCAGGTCCTGACGGGGCGGGGGGAGCCAAGCATGGAGTGAGATGGTAATATGCAGCGAGCACATGCTGAGCGACGACAGAAAGTTGTGCCACGCCACGCGTGGTCACGATGGGGGGATGCAGTGCCGCGTGCAGGAGCGTGCGGGAGAGTGCGGGAACGTGCAGGAGCGTGCAGAAAGCACACGCACATCGGGAATGACGACTCGCGGAGCCGCGCACCTCGGGAACGACGGTGTGCGCGAGCTGCGCGTAGAGCAGATCGATGGAGATGCCGCAGGGGAGGGGAGAGCAATCCGGTCAACACCAGAGGCAGGCAGGCAGGCAGGCAGGCACGCGGGAAACGCACCTCGGGAACGACTGTGTGCGCGAGCTGCGCGTAGAGCAGGTCGATGGAGATGCCGCGGAACTTGAACTTCATCACAGGGACGTGTGGGGAGTGGGGGGGAGGGAGAGGGTGGGAGGGGAGAGGGGGAAGGGGAACGCGGTGCAGCGCGCACCTCGGGAATGACGATTCACGAGCTACGCACCTCGGGAACAACAGTGTGCGCGAGCTGCGCGTAGAGCAGGTCGATGGAGATGCCGCGGAACTTGAACTTCATCACAGGCACGTGCGCATCGGGCACCGAGTGCAGCTCCGCCACCTCCGCCAGCTGCGCCAGCATGTCGTGTAGCTCGCCGAAGAAATCCTCCTGCAAAGTGGAGGGAGAAGAGAGAAGGTTGAAGTGGGGGGTAAAGACGTGCGCATCGGGCACCGTCTGCAGCTCCGCCACCTCCCCCAGCTGCGCCAGCATGTCGTGCAACTCGCCGTATAAGTCCTCCTGCGGGGGGCGCCGGGGGGGGGGGGGGGGGGGGGGGGGGGGGGAGAGGGGGAGGGGAGGACGAGGGGAGCGGAAGGGGGAGAGAAAGAGCAGAAGGTTGGGGGGGACGACGCGTGGAAGGTAGGGTGGACTGGAGCACCTCGGGCAGGTGCGCCGGCATGTCTCCGTGCAACTCGCCGGAAAAACCCTCCTGCAAAGCAGCACGCAGGGGGGATGGGGGATGAAGTGAGAGGCGAAAGGTCCGGGGGAAGGACGTGTGCCATTTTAAAGGATTCTCAAAGGTACGGAGTGCAGCTCCGCCACCTCCGGAACCTGCGAGCGGGAACGAAAGAGACGACTGTACCGGCCGGAGCAGCAAAGCTTGCGGACGAAAAGGCACGCGGAGGAGCTGCACTTCCACACCTGGGATTGAGTGCAGTCGGAGAGGCAATGGTGGGGGAGGGCGTAGCGTACCTCCCTCGTGGCGTGGCGCGGGCCCACACAGAGCGTGTCGATATCGGCGCCTGGACCGTGCACCTGGTGGGTACAAGGAGGACGAGAGCAGAGACGGCAATAGCAGACGCTAATCAGAATGGATGGAACAGAACGCGGAACGTCAGCGCGGGGAGCAGAAGCGCGCCGAGGCGAAGGTACTCACCCCGAGGCGGTAGGAGCCGAATGTGAAGATCTTGGCGTTTGCGTCCGCGACAAACTGGTCGTTAAAGCCCTTGCGCCGACTCACACTCTTCACCCACACCTTCACTATCTGCGCCGCGACGTGGGAAGGAAACAGCAACCGTACACGCACACACACGCACCACATCAAGAGTTGTCCGAAAGCGAGCGGACGCTCCAGTGCGCTCTGAAAAAATCTGATAAACGCACGTGGCGGTGCGTTTGTTTTACATGCTCAGCGGACTGACCTCGTCGATGCGACCAACGGACTGACCTCGTCGAGGCGACCGAGAACCTCCTCTCGCAGGATGGCCTCGTCTTGGCTCTCGTACAGCCCCGCATCGACCAGAAACTGCCTAATTAGCCCAGCAGCACGGCATCTGTTGCTCGTTTATTTCAAGTGCTCAGCGGACTGACCTCGTCGAGACGGCCGAGAACCTCCTCGCGCAGGATGGCCTCGTCTTGGCTCTCGTACAGCCCCGCATCGACCAGAAACTGCACACGCCCCAGTTAAAGCCCAGCAGCAGAAAAAGCCCGAAGAGATTATCGGTACGGCCGGCAAGGGAGCAGATATCCTACCAGCTGGCAGCGGGGATTCGCGCATCTCGCGGGACTAGCGCGTCTCGCGCGTCTGAAGCATCTCGCGCATCTGGTGAATCTCGTCTCGAGCGTCTAGTGCATATCGCTATCTCGTCTCGCGCGTCTAGTGCATATCGCTATCTCGTCTCGCGCGTCTAGTGCATATCGCTATCTCGTCTCGCGCGTCTAGTGCATGTCGCTATCTCGTCTCGCGCGTCTAGTGCATCACCTTCTCTAGCTCCTTCGTCCGTTGAACGTCCTGCGGCGAGGGTCCTGCGAGGGATATGGGGTTGACGCTCGCCATAGCCCCGCGCGAGGACCAGCTCGCCACGCCGCTCCCACTCTGTAGACTAGCCCACAGGGAATGCACGACTCGAGAACTACTAAGCTTAGAAAACAGTCTGCGGAAGAGCTAGGAAAAACGGTAAGATTTGTAGGTACTTCTCGATAGATGTGTGTTGATATTTGAAAGCACGAGTGGCATAGGGTAGCAGTGCACCGAACTGCACCGTGGAAAATGGTGCGCAACCGAAGTATTGTTTTTGGACTCGCTCTGCTTGTCTGTCGGGTTGGTGGATGTGTTGGATCCGCGGGCCCTACAACCCTGTGCTGGGGTCTCTGCGCGTGGGCAGTTCGTTCGCGGTGGGAAGGTGGGAACAGGGGGTTTTGCGGAAGGAGAAATGATGTGGAGTGCAGGGAGATGTGATGTGAGATGTGAGGGCGGGAAAACAGACGTTGACGGACAGACGTCAAATAATCGCAACAGCGAATGTCGGTGGTTGCGCTGAGAAATGCAAGCGATTAGGTCCTTCACTGTACACCGTAGTGCGTTAGCGTTATAAAAATTATACAAACAAGCATCTCAAATTATACAAATAGCATCTCAAGTACAAAACAAGTCTAACGCCAACAAGCAGCTGCTAAGCCAATTACGACATGAGGGTCTCCCCAATGGAGCCCGCATTCAGACATCTTTTACTAGCCGATAACCTAGGTGCTGCAAGGCTGTATTGCAGGGCCCCACAGCAACAGCAGGCCCAACCGCTCGATTTAGCAGCTGAACATGGGCAGAATATTTGGGAAGCCCTTGACGAATCCGCCACCAACGAGGCCGCCGGATTTCCTGGTGGACTTAGTGAGGACAGACGAGTAGTAGTCCGACGTGACGCCCTTATCCACAGCCTGCAGCACCTCCAGAATCGTGCCGCTGCCGCCACGTGGCTTGATCTTCTCAATGCCCGTCAGCTTCAATTCTAGCTTGTACGAGCCGCCGCTGCCGCTCCAGGGCTTGTTGATGTACCACGACACGCCCGTGTTGCTGCCAAACTTTCCCTTGCCGATCACGATTCCCACCGGCGGCTCCGGTAGCTCGCTCACCTCCGCAGTCACCTGGAGGTCGAACGACTCGTCCTCTTTGCCCCTGTGATTTAAGGAAATGCGCGGACAGAGGTGTGAGAACGACAATCGATGGGGGGAAGGGGGGGGGGGGGGGAAAGCGTCGAGAGTGGGGAAGGGAGCGGAGTGGTAGCGGAACGGCGCAGCGGAATGGCGCAGCGGAACGGCGCAGCGGAATGGCGCAGCCAAAACGATACACTAAAAAAGCGTGGCGAAATGGCGTGGCGAAAGCGTACTTGGACTCCTTGATGGTGAGTCTGCCAGAGGGCAGCGACTTGGAGGACTTGCCACCCTTCTTCGCCTGCGTCTGCTGCTTGTCCGTCAAGTCCCAGTTCGAGTACAGCACGCCTGCGAGAACGTGCGACAACGCGCGACAACGTGCGACGAGGTGGGAAATCACGCATCGATCAGTACGACGGGGTACAGCTGGCGAGAGCAGACTACGAGAGAGTGAGGAGAGCCGGTCGGGGCCAAACGGGAGCGGGACAGCGGCGAAGAGTGGGACGAGGGCACGACGACGGCAAAACTGGTTTAGCGGAGCACTCACATGTCGGTCGGGCGAGAGTGAGGAGCGCGGACGCAAAGAGCAGCCCAAGGACGAGCGCGCCTGGGGGGGGGGTGGGGGCGCGGAGGGGCGCACAGCGATGAGTACGGGCGGTGAAGGCCGCAATGCGACCCGCAGGGCGCGAGGAGCGAGAGTAGAGCATGTCGAGCAACCGAACGAGATTCAGAAGCGCTGGTGACGTAGTGAGGGCATTGCTGATGTCAGCGCGACGGCCGAAGGATTCAGAGTAAATTCGCGCGAGAGCATTGTCGATGCGAGCAACGACCGACGATATTAAATGCGCGAACGTTGAGAATGAGAGGATTTTTGAGTCGAATAGAAAATCCGATAGAGAGGGGACTGAACGATCCACCCACCTTTTGCAGAGACTAGAGGAGCCATGAGGTCAACAATGCAATGTGACGAACAGGTATGAATTGCTCTGTGACGTTTCTACTGGTGAGAGGACTCGGATGGCGAAGGAACGATGGTAAAGGATATATCGACCCTTGGAGCTAAAGGGCTTTTATATCGTCTGATGCTCGCCGGGGCGCCCCGGCGACACGAAGCGCGTGCTCAAGGTGGGCGGCTTGACGAGCAAGCTAAAGCAGCCACGCTGGCAATGGTGGTGGGGTGGGGCTGTTGGATGGAGACGGTGGTGGAACCTGGGTCTTGGAGGATAAAGGTGTGGGGGTGCGGGCAGTTGAGTTGTGTGCTAGTGGCTCACTCGTTCCATGTTCGTGGGAGAATTTGCTCAGGCACGAACTTGGCAGCAGCTGACTTGGGAGGGGCGGAACCGGAATTGCGTCGGGTCGGGGGAAGGTGGGGCCTGCCTGTGCTTCTCTACAACAGCAATGTTCGTGCGCGACGAGGGAAATTATCGAAGCGCGTTGTAGGAGGACGACGTTTCAAAGCTTGTGCTTACGGGATGGGAATCTGGAGTTCGTGCGAAACCATTTCGCATGTGCGAAGCGAATCAAGGGTGGCTAAATGCTCATACCTGACAACCCACCTGGACGTGTAAAATTTACCTGGGGTATGGGGGGTCTCACTAAATGTGAAAGCACAAGACAGGTAGTCTTTAGTTAGAGCAATAATCTACTTGATAGTTCAAAAAGCAAAAAATCTAGCTAGATATTTAATTATTATTTACAAAGGATTTAGTAAACTCTACAAGTGTATAAACAAGCTAGTCACTGTGGTCAAGAGGATGAGTGAAGCTACCTCACCATACCTGCCCATGCACGTATGAGTGCCTCAAGTCGTCGCCCCTTACCTCCCTTCATATATCTTCCCCTCCCCTTGTCGCAAATCCCTTAGCCGTGCCTCCCCTTGTTGTGCCTCTCTCCCATCGTCGCATCACCCCTTGTCGCCCCATCCCTCCTTCCATCACGTATCCCCTCGCCTCCGCTGTCGTGTCCGCATCCTCGTCGTGCCGCCCCTCGTCACGCCTCCTGTCCCATCGTTGTGCTCCCCCCCCCCCCCCCCCCCCCCCGTCATGCCTCCCCTCGTCTCGCCGCCCTCTATTCTCACCTCCAGTCCCCTAGTAATGCCTCGACTCCCCTCGTCGTGCCTCCCCCCTCCTCGTCATGCCTCCCCTCCCCTCGTCGCACCTCCCCTCCCTTCGTCGCAACTTCCCTCTCCTCGTTGCGATTCCCCTCCTTTCGTCGGGCTGGCCCTTGTTGCTGTCAAAATCTAGCAGGAATGAATGAGTGCATTGAAGAGAATTGTGAGTACAAGTACTAACCCTAATCTGGGTTGTACCCCTTATGGGCTACCCCACTACAGCCTACACACAACAAGCACCATTATAGTTTGACACACCCCCATAGGCAAAGTGGGGGAGAACCAGTGGTCACAAGACCAGTCAAGAAAAGCAAAACAAGCTCAGGGTGGATCATGAAGTCACCACACATTTCGAGCACAAGCAAATGGCCACAAGGTCAGTTCACATGCAGAGTTATATAAAACAAAGCAAGCAGTACAAGCAAGGTCAAGCAGTGAGCAAGTGAGAGAACGTAGGCACGAGGCCTAGAGCAGTACAAAGACACTGATGATCACCACGCGAAAGTGCCTTGGTGAATATATCAGCTGTGTTGGCCCGAGTGGCCACGTAAGCAAGACGAAGCTAACCACGCTGCTGCAACTCTCGAGCAAGGAAGTAACGCAGAGCGATGTGCTTCGTTCTGTGCTCCAGTGTGTGCTCCTGACACAAAGCTATGGCTGCCTTCTTGTGGGCCGACGTACAGAACTGGAGGAGAACTAGGCCGCTCTCCCAAGTCGGTCAGCAGGTAGGTGAGCCAGCGTAACTTCTGTGCAGCCATGGCCCCGGCGTAGATCTCAGCCTCACAACTGGAGCTGAGAACAGAAGACGAGCGGGTAGACCGCCAAGAAACAGAGCCGGAGCCAAGGCTGAAGGTGTAACCCTGTGACGACCGCTGCGTAGCAAGGTCGTCAACCCAGGAGGCGTCTGAGTGTCCAGTGAGGACAACTCGACCCCGTCCTCCAAGCACCAGCCCCATGCCCGATGTACTGCACAAGTAGCGCAGCACCCTCTTAGCAGCCTCCCAGTGCTCTCGACGGACGAGACGCAGGCTCACGATGCTCTGTAAGGGAGACCGGCTGCTCAGTGTAACGAGACGGGGCAGGCAGCGGCGAGTCCGAAAGAAGGGCAGTGGACGAAGGAAGACTAAGAACTTGACGGAGCACCGACTCGGGCGGAAGCTCCGACAGTTGCGGCGGCGGCAAGAAAAACGGTCGCTGCTGCACAGGGCCTCCAGCTCCAGCAACCCCAGCTCCAGTAGCTCCAGCGCCGGCGCCTCCAGCGCAAGTACCTCCAGCTCCTACAACTCCAGCTCCAGCGCCTCCAGCTCCAGTAGCTCCGGCGCCAGAGCCTCCAGCACCAGCACCTCCAGCACCTCCAGCGCCTCCAACGCCAGTACCTCCAGCTCCAGCGCCTCCAGCTCCAGTGCCTCCAGCTCCAGTACCTCCAGCTCCAACTCCTGCAGCTCCAGAGCCTGCAGCTCCAGAACCTCCAGCGCTAGTGCCTCTGGCTCTAGCACCTCTAGCTCCAGCGCCTCCAGCTCCAGCGTCTCCAGCTCCAGTGCCTCCAGCTCCAGCTCTTGCAGCTCCAACTCCTGCAGCTCTAGCGCCTGCAGAGCTAGTGCCTCTAGCTCAAGCAGCGCGACTCCGAAGGTGGGTGCGCCGAGCAAACCACTCGCGCAGCTGCTGTGGTGAGAGAGGCTCCACAGTGCCGCCAGCACCAGTACATCTAGGGCTAGCAACGCCAGGACCTCAAGCACCTCCAGCTCCAGCACCACCAGCGTCAGCGCCTCCAGCTCCAGGGCCGCCAACTCTAGCGCCTCCAGCTCCAGCACCTCCAGCGTCAGCGCCCCCAGTGCCAGTACCTGCAGCTTCAGCACCTCCAGCACCAGCGCGACTCCGAAGGCGGGTGCGCCTGGCAAACCACTCGCGCAGATGCTGCGGTGAGAGGGGCTCACGCTGGGGAGACCGCTGCGGCAAGGCACCCTGAAGACCACCAGCAGACGCAGCACCACCAGGCTCAGTACTCCCAGAAGCAGCACCCCCAGGCTCAGCACCCCCAGGCTCAGCACCCCTAGGCTCAGCACCCCCAGGCTCAGCACCCCCAGGCTCAGTACCCCCAGGCTCAGCACCCCTAGGCTCCGCACGCTCAGGCTCGACACCCCCAGGCTCCGCACCCACAGGCTCAGCACCCCCAGACGCAGCACCCCGAGCAGGACCACCCCCAGCAGCACCTGAGTCACACGTGACCTCGACAGGCTCAGCCAAGGGAAGTGGGTCTACCTGAGACACACCTGAAGGAGCAGGACCCTGAGGGGGGAGGGGGTCTACCGGAGGGGGACCTGGAGCGAGGAAGAGAGAGCGCCCTGGGGGGGGGAGAGGGGCAGTGCGGTAGGGGAAGAGATGGTAAAAGGGAACCGACTCGTCAAACGTGACGTCCTGAGAGGGGAAGACACGGCGCAAGGTGGGGTGGTAAAACTGCCAGCCAGGCGCGTCAGGGGGAAAGCCAAGGAAGACGCAGGGAATGGCGCGAGAGGAGAGCTTGTCCGCGGTGGTATTGCGGTCAAAGGTACGAGAGCTCCAGACTCGGAACCGCGACGCATTGCCAACCTCCCCCGTCCAACGCAGTGTGGGCGAGGTCTCCGGCAGGGAGACACGGGGCCAGAGGTTGAGCTGATGCGCAGCGTACCGGACCGCAAACGGCCACAGAAAATGGGGAGCAGCCGCATGGATCATGGAGGTACGAGCCACCTCCATGACTAAGCCAATGCGGCGCTCAGCAACCCCGTTCTGCTGTAGAGAGGCCGGAAGCGTGAACGACTAGAGGATGCCCTCCCCCTGACAAAAGTCCCGCAAGAGGTCGGAGGAGAACTCACCACCTCTGTCAGAGTGCAGACGCAGGACGGGAAGGTCTGTGCGAAACCACTCGCGGAGCTGGA